GGGGAGGGGGAGTTGAAATTTTTGTGGGTTTTGCCAAATCTGCCCCGCACCCGTACCCGCCCCTCCCCATTGCCATCCCTAGCCTCTGTAACGATCCAAAGAAAATCTTTTTGGCTTAGTACTAGTCAATTTGGGCGATGTCACATATCCTGCAGATAAATCGTAACACTCACCAGTTTGATCTCCTGCTCCATAAAGTAACTTGATAGCCGAACTACTCGCTAGGCGAATAGTATCTTAGGGGCCGACCCGACATCAATCGACTGAGAATCCCGCACAACAAAAGCGGACTACGCTAGTATATATTCGTCTACAAGAGGCGCACTCGTATGCCTTTCGAGTCTTCCCCTTGTAAATCAAATCAAAACATAAGAGATTTGGCTCTCATATTCCGTGCGTATCCCATCATTTACTTGGGAAATTAAAGGAGGGTGTAGGTTTTTGTTCTTTTACAATATTTTAAAACTTTGAATTTAAAATTATCAAATTGCTTTATTCAAAATTTCATGTGGTGTTGTTCCATAATTGAGTTCTAACTTTTGAGAAAAGCTGCCGAGCATGTAGTTTTTATTTATTATTTATTTGATTTTTTGATGAAATTAAAAAATATTGATTTAATCCCAAAAGGAAGAAAAACTTAGACTTGGTTTGAGTCAACTTCAAAATTCTCAGGAGATACTGGATATTCCTACAATATATATTTAAAAAGATTGTGTCACCACCAAATTCTATATGGTCAGACAATGATACTTACAATGAATACCACAGTAATATAGTATTAATGTAGCTTAATATTCATGCCATATGGAGTATTAAATATTAATGTTGCACAATATTCATGCCACATTAAGTGTGCTAGTATTAATTTTGCTCAATATTAAATTGGTTACTCCATGCCTCACAACTACAGATGGCAAAATGGATAAAATTTGTAAGCATCCACCCATATTATTCGCTCAAAAAACGGAATGGATACATGATCCACTAAAAGCGGATCAAATATATGTCACCCCATATAATCCAATTAAGAAAATGAATAATTCGTGGTAAATAATATATTATACGATAAAATTAACTAATATCCATCGTTAGTGTAAACTATTTATATAATTAAGTCACTTTTATCTACTGTAGTATGTATCTTATTTAATTTTGAGATTACAAATTTCACTTTGTGTGAAGAATTACTAATAAATATATTTTGAGTGACTTGATAATGTAAATTTTTTGGTGTAAATAGTTAAAAGCAAAAGGTTCAAATCTTGTTGTCAACTCACTCTTGTCGCTTTCCCTTCTAACAAGTGAAAATAAAAAGGAGAATTTTAGCATACACAATACTGAGATATCCTTAGTTATACTTTCACATGATCAATTTTCTTTTACCAAAAAAGAAAGGGAACAATAAATTTACTTCTTCCTCTATTGTTCTAGGAATGACAAAAAAAAAAAAAATATGAGGAACTTTTAAAAATTACTATTGTTTAGTGGCTATTAACTTTTTATAGCTATTATATATATAATTATTTTTTATAGTTACTATTTAGTCATTACGCAACTGTATTCGCTGTATTCACGCAACTGTATTCGCTGTATTCACGCAACTGTATTCATGAATACAGTAGCAGAATTCGTTTAAAAAAATAGGGGAGTCCAGCTGTGCGACTGTATTCGTTGTATTCACGCTACTATATTCATGAATATAGTAGCGGATTTCGTCTAAAAAAATAGGGGATTCCAGCTGTTTAATAACGGAAAGAGAATCAATTAGCGTGTATCACTCCTAATTTAACTCAACAAAACCAATTCTACATAAATTTCGTTGCTACACGATTGTATTTGCTGTATGCGCTATTGTATTCATGAATACAGTAATAAGGGAGTCTAGTTTGCGACTGTATTCGCGCTACTGTATTCATGAATAGAATAAGGGAATTCGCCTATAAAATAGGTGAGTCCAGCTGTTTAAGAACGGAAAGAAATCAATTAGCGTGTATCACTCCTAATTTAACTCAACAAAATCAATTCTACATAAATTTCGCTGCTACTGTTATGTATTCCATGTATTCGCGCGACTATATGTATTTATAAATACAGTGAGTTAATCAAGAAATAGGTTATATACCGATCTATTCAATTCGACTGTATACATTGTATTCAATTCACAAATATTCATTATTCACTATTATATATTGTATTCAATTCGATTGTATTCAAACAACAAAAAATCACAAAACGCAGTGATATTCGGTTGTATTAAAAAAATACATTTCTTCGGAATACATAAATACACACAAAAAAATAATCTGTTTATACAAAATACAATATATTTGAGTGTATTTGTACAAAATACAATGTATTTATATCATTGTATGTGACTAAAATAGCAAAAAAGAGAAGAAAATTCGCCGGAGATGGCTTTTTCCAGCCAACCAAAATACTGTATACATTGTATTAAAACAAAAAATAGAGACAAACAAAAATCCAGCCCTCAAATCTTCTCCGGCGTAACCATGGCTAGATCTATTCGCCTCAAACCTTTCTTCCTCTATCCAACAATGTGATAAATATAAAATAACATTCCTTTAGTACAGATGTATCATATATAGGACGTGTCTGCAACTATTTTTGTTCTGCAAAGTCCAACGATTAAATAATACATTTTTATAGTACAAGTTAATCCATCACAATGAAATGACTAATTTATAATTAAGATGCATTGAAGATAAGCACTGGACCAATCAGTTTCTTGATTATAGACTTCATTAAACAAACAATTGAAGATTATAAAGTCAAAAATAGAATTAGTGAGAGTTGACCAAACAATTTATCTGCGTATGCAATGATCACAAGAATATACCAAGATTTCCTACTTTTATATTTTAATATTCTCAAATTTTCTTAGTGCTAATGCATGTTTATTAATCCTTAATTAAAACTTAATTCCATTCACCAACAAACAATAGGATAGTCAATGTTATGATCATGTCAAAGGTTGTGTGATACACCTATTTAACCTTGTTTCCTTCTTTATTTAGTATGATACAAGGAACTTAATTTCATAATGCCTGCTTTTAACTACATAAGAAGTCCATCACGTATTAAGAGAGCATTAAGTTGGAAAGAGTTAGTCTTCTTTTCTTTCCTTTTTGTGTTTTCTTTGGCATTTTCAAGAACGTGAAATATATGCATATAGAGGCGAATTCAGGATCTGAAGTCAGTAGGTTCAGAATGAGTGTTTCTTCTTATATGCATTCATTTTAAATGCTTTGCATCGATCTGAATATAATGAGTTCAGTTGAACCTACAGAACCAGTCTTTGGTTCGTGTTTGCTAAATGCACGAGTTAATCTTGCTTTTTTGTGGTTGTTACAGAACTTTCATTACTGAAGAGGACTGGCAGAGTATGGAGGAGAACGATATATCGAAAATGGAAGGGCAAGGAACAATGCAATCTCCACCATCTTCAGTTGTTGCAATAGCAATAAGTGGGAACAAGAATAGCAAATATGTGGTGAAATGGGCATTGGACAAATTTGTTCCAGAGGGAGAGACGCGCTTCATGTTGCTACATGTCCGCCCTGAGATCACTGCAGTTCCAACTCCTAGTAAGTTTTTCGGTCTTTTTTTGGTCTGTTCTTCAATTAAGAAATCGAATTCTTTGAAACTAGCCTACGATGGCTCAAGTCGTGGAATTAACTAACGAATATATGATAGAACATCTTAGGTTGAAAGTAGTTCCGCTGCCTCTTTGGATTATTGTTGTGAAAGAATCTGAGCATTCAATCTAAAACCTTAAAGCAATGGGCGTTTTGGCCAATCTCCCTTCTGATATCCTTCTATACCTAAGATAAAACCTTATATAGTCAAATCTATCTATAACAGTATCTCTATATAATATCCATTCGCTATAAAAGCCAAGTTTTTCTCGGAGCCGATTTAATATGTTATATTATAATATATGTCCTTTATAACAACACTTCATTATAGCAGCCAAAACGTATCGGAACAAACGAGGCTGTTATAGAGATGTTTGACTGTAATTCAACACCCTTCCATAAGCATAAGCTAATTTAGACATGCGAACTCTAATATGGTCTTATGAGTACAAGGATGATATTGTGCAAATTTGGCTCTGATACCATGTGAAAGAATTTGAGCATCCTACTAAAACCTTGAAATAATGGATGGAGTGTCTAAAAAAGAAACCTCTACAGACCCTTTTGGTTGTCCTATATAGTGGCGGAGCTAGGATTTCACCAAGGGGATTCAAAATATATAGAATTGAACACTCGAGAAGCCAAGGGGGTTCAACCTCTATTATATCTACATAAAAAAGTATTATTAACCTTGTATATATAGTGTAATTTTCCATCGAATGGGTTCAAATGAACCACCTTTCACCACCCTAGCTCTGTCTCCTATACGGTGAGGAATTTTATATAACACAGTTGACCTCATAGAAACATTAGAACATAGTACACTTTGTTAGGTGCATTGTAATTAGAGTCTAAACATGCAAGTTGTCATATTTTCTTTTTTTCTAGTGGGAAACTTGATTCCTATTGCACAAGTAAGAGAGGATGTAGCAGATGCCTTCAGGAAGGAAGTCGAGTTACAAGCAAGCGAAAAGCTTCTTCCGTACAAGACGATGTTTATTAGGAGAAAGGTTCAACTTATATCCTATGCTTAAAAACCTTAAGTAACTACAGTATGGTTAAAAATTGCTGATTGTCTAACTAAATGCAGGTGCAAGTAGGAGTTGTTCAAATTGAATCAAATGATGTTGTAAATGCAATAGCAGGGGTAGTATCTAAATGTTCTATCAACAAGCTTGTCATTGGAACCTCAACTCCTGGCCTATTTTCAAGGTACTAAATCTATTTGCTCTTCAAATTTCAAAAGAATAAGTAGCTAGCAATAAAATGCAAAATTCAGAAGTTGGAAGAGTGCTATGTCTTAACTCGAGATTTTTAGTCGTATATCCATTCAGATATCGCGACATTTCCTTGTTGCAATTAGCATGGTATAATTCATGACGAAGTAATAACTTCTAATTGATTCACAGGGGAAGAAACTTATCTGCAAGTATCTCAGAAACTGCTCCAACCTTTTGCACAGTTTATGCTGTGTCGAAGGGAAAACTGTCGTCAGTGCGTCCCTCGAGTTATGAAAACAATGGAGCTGTTACAGATGATAGTAGTGATACAAGTGGTTCTTCCAACAATTCTACAGGCCATAGTTTTAGCTCTCAAGCAGGTATAAATTTCTTATACATACATGTATTCGCTTTCCTGTGAATTAATGAAGGCTACAACAAACTATATTAAAACAATGTGAACAAGTGATGAAGTGAGAACCAATAGAAGATGATTAATACCAGCTTGAAGCTGGAGATAATTGAAAATTTCAATGATTTGATAGGTCCATCACGGAAGCGGAAAATAGAAGCAATCAAACCTCTCTATAATGGCATCGTCTGATTGGAAACTTTTTGGCTGCTATAGCGAAAAACTATTTATACAGAACACATAATGTAACATAGCATGAAAAGTCGGTTCCAAAGAAAACTTGGCCGTTATAGTGAAATGTTGTTATAGAGAATGACTGTTATAGTGATGTCTAACTGTATATGTCATAAACAAGAATCCTAAAAGAAAGTTGTACCTATTCAAATCATTGTCATAAGATTAATAGCTTGTCCTTTAATTCTCAGAGAGGACGGATCACAGCTCAACTTCACCTGCTTCATACTCTCATTTGTATTCTCCTTCTCGTAAATTGCAACGCTATCAAGCTAAATCCCCAACACACCACGCCCTGCAAACACTTCTCCATAAGAGAACAAATATTGGTGAAACCATCCAATCTAGAAGTTCATCTATCGAAATTGGAGAAGCGTTTCAAGCCCTCTCAATTAAAAACAATACTAAAAGAGCAAATCTGAGTGAAGTCATCCATCCTAGAGCTATGACTATTGCTACTGGAGAAGCCGAGGATGACAAAAGTTGCTATTTCAGTAGCTCAGGAATTACTGATCCCAATAGTCTTAATTCAAGTTTCAAGAAAGCAAAAGTAGACAACCAACAATGGTCAACAAGTCAGTCTTCCAACTCAGATGCTCCAACAGATTCTTCATCTGGAAGTCAGGTGATCATATTCTTCTTTCAATTATGCTTTCTTTGAAGGGGAGCCTTGGAGCAACGGTAAAGTTGACTTCGTGTGACCTATAGGGTAGGCTGTCTACATCACACCCCTTTGGGTTCAGCCCTTCCCCGGACACTGCGCGAACGCAGGGTGTCTTGTGCACCGGGCTGCCCACTTATGCTCTCTTACATATTTAACATGCAGTAATATACATTCACTTTGCTTATATGAGGAGCTTCCTATTGCCTCCAGCAACTTGCTTAAGGACTAGTATATCTTAGGATGTCTTGGTTTAGCAGTTTTATGCATAGTCATATTACGCGGTGGCGTAAAAATGACCTAGTTCTTTTATGATTTCTTACACTAAAGTTCTTTCATATATGCAGGTTAACATCAATTATGACCTAGAAAAGCTGAGAATTGAGCTCAGACATATTCAAGGAATGTATGCAATAGCTCAAACTGAGGCAATAGATGCTTCTCGGAAGGTACTTTTAATTTCAAACTGAATTTATAGCAAATATCGGAAACAGTCTCTCTACTTCAAGGTAGGGATAAGGTCCGAATACACACTACCCTTCCCAGACCTCACTTGTGGTATTACAGCGGGTTTGTTGTTGTGGTTATCATCAATTTGTGGCAAATAGTACTTCCAAGTTCTAGGACTCTTTGTTAGAAGCACGAAATCATTTTTATGATCTCGTGTGGCAAATTATATGAGTTCATGTTCTTATTGGTTCTGTTTTTTGTCAGCTGAATGAATTTCAGAAGCTTCGAGTGGATGAAGCGAATAAACTGATGGAGATAAACCTTAAGGAGGAGGAAGCCAAAGAATTAGCAGAACAAGAGAAGCTAAAATGTGAAGCAGCAAAGAAAGAAGCAGACTATGCAATGGAATGTGCTGAAAGAGAAGTTGAGAAAAGAAGAGCAGCAGAGAGCATTGCAAACCGGGAGGCTAGAACGAAAGAAAAGCTTGAGAAATCATTAGTGCTACCTCTCCATCACTACCAGGAATTCACATGGGAAGAGATTGTGACGGCTAGCTCATCTTTCTCTGAGGATCTTAAGATAGGAATGGGATCATATGGAATGGTTTACAAGTGCTATTTGCATCATACATCTGCAGCAGTGAAAGTTCTTCATTCCGCTGAGGCTCATAGAACTAAGCAATTTCAACAAGAGGTATGAGAAATATCTAAAATGAGAGATAAGTAAACAAGAATGCATAAAGGAATTCTAAATAAAGTGTACTAGTTTCACCGTGAACCAAAGTTGCTGGTAAAGTTGTTGTCATGTGACCAGGAGGTCACGAGTTCGAGCCGTGGAAACAACCTCTTGTAGAAATGCAGGGTGAGGCTGCATACAATAGACCCTTGTGGTTTGATCCTTCCCCGGATCCTGTGCATAGCAGGAGCTTAGTGCATCGGACCACCCTTTTTTTTTCTCACCCTGAACCAGAGTACGGGTTTGGTTGAACCCAATAACTTTGGTCCAAACTTTGTATTTGTCTTAAAAAATCCATTTAATATATACAAATTACTTTAGAACATAGTAACCTAAAAGGTCTAAAATCATGAACCCGTAAACTTCAAATCTTGGCTCCGCCCTTGCCGGCTGCCACAACTCAAATCAGGCTTTGAATAAGACTAACTATATTTTTTTGATTATTTTCCAGCTTGAAATATTGAGCACAATTCATCATCCTCACTTGTTAATTCTACTTGGCGCATGCCCTGAACGCGGTTGCCTAGTATACGAGTACATGGAGAATGGAAGTTTGGAGGATAGGTTGATAAGGAAAAACAACACACCTCCACTTACATGGTTTGACAGGGTTCGGATAGCTTGGGAAGTTGCTTCTGCTCTAGTTTTCCTACATAACACAAAGCCAAAACCGATCATACACCGTGATTTAAAGCCAGCTAACATACTCCTTGATCATAACTTGGTGAGCAAAATTGGAGATGTTGGACTTTCAACAATGGTTCAGTTAGACTCTTCCTCAGCAATGACGGCATACAAAGACACGAGTCCAGTTGGCACACTTTGCTATATAGATCCTGAGTATCAAAGGACAGGATTAGTCTCTACAAAATCTGATGTTTACGCATTTGGAATGGTCATTCTGCAGTTGCTTACTGCGAAACGTGCCATAGCTTTAGCCCATATGGTAGAAATGGCAATCGAAGACGATAACTTAGTGGAGTTGCTGGATCAAGAAGCCGGTGAATGGCCTATTGAAGAGACAAAGGAATTGGCTGTGCTTGCTATAAAATGCACTGAGCTTCGACGTAGAGACAGACCTGACTTGAAAGATGAAGTTCTCCCTGCTTTAGAGAGATTGAAAGAAGTCGCAGATAGAGCTCGAGATTTGATATATATCCAATCTCCATCTCCTAGCCACTTCAAATGCCCCCTACTCAAGGTACCCTTATATTTATTAGTAATATTTCGGTCTGATTTTTTACCAAGTAAATATGCAACCAAGAAAAATATAAAGCAGGTCTAATTTACATTAGGCTATATCTATAATGCATATTACAAAGTTAATACCTGCTCTTTGCTTCATTTACTAAAGGGAAACTCTGCTACAGGAAGTGATGCAAGACCCTTGTGTTGCGGCTGATGGATACACTTATGACCGGAAGGCAATAGAGTCATGGCTAAAGGACAACGATCACTCACCGGTGACTAATTCACCATTACCACATAAACACCTGCTGCCAAATTACACACTTCTCTCTGCTATCAAAGAATGGAAGTCGGGGAAACATTGACACACGACTTTCAGCTATATTCTTGAGCTTCTTTAAGAAAGGAATCTCTACCACTTGTACATGCAACTTTTAGTGTTAGACGACAGATTAGTCTCCTAGATACATGCTTTGGAAATGAAACAACTGATTGGAATATAACGAATCAAAGGCAAATTCAGCTCACTGATGAGCTACAATGTAAAGAATTTTTCCAAATAAACGCTTGAGATGTTAACATAAAGTACATTAATGTTGGATTCTCACTTTCATGTTTTTCCTAGTTTATTTATTATGTAGATCGTACTTCAACAGATCCTGTTTACCAGTAGGAGAATGGAAATAACGAAAACAGGTAAAAGTCAAATACATAGCCAGGTGTCCATGGATAGATCCAGCTTTGTCATTATTTGGCAAGTACGTCTTGAAGACGTAATCAATCAATAGGTTAAAACCTTTTAAGAGATGGAGCCTTATAATTCATTAGTATAATACTGGAGAAGATTTCGTTCATTGTTTTCATTCTTAGAGCATGATACATAAAACTGAGAATATTATTGCTTGTTTTAAGATGAAGCCAGACAACATTTAGGTTAAGTAGCAACTTGAGCTATGAGATAGGTATAATACACTCACTAGTTCAAAGTGCTAATGTTAAATGGGACGGGATATTAACAAGCAGAAATATATACTAAAGGAGGTTTGACGTATACAACTAGGTACATTGTTCGAGAATAAGGTAATTTTTCCTTTTAGACACACCAAAGTCAAATTGAAAATACCAATATGATCCTACAGAATTACTGGTCTATCCTACTCAGTCTGCTTCCTATCCAGAATGGATTCTCAATCAAATGATGAACTGAAGGCAATGACAACTTGCTGTAAGTCCTATCTTTTATCCGGAATAATTTAACTTTGCGGGGCATGTAGAGGAACAAATATGGTTCCTGATTCCCTTTTCTAGCCATAAGAGAAATCACACTAAATGTAAATTCAAGAAAAGAAGAATCTCCTGGACATCTAGTACTATAAACCATTTCTCGTGAAGGTTGTTCACGTAAATCAATGCGATATTTTAGGCTCCAAGAGGAATAGTTACTTCCCAATTCGTAGACGTCAATATTAGCCCCGACTGAATAGCCAACCAAATGTAAATTCCCATGGACACATCCACAGTAGTAATATTGATCCATTTTTGGCATTGGATAAGAGTGGAGAATTTCCCTATCAATATAACAACAACAACCACCACCCAATGATTTCCCACAAGTGGGGTTTGGAGAGGGTACTGTGTATGCAAACCTTACCCCTATCGTGGAGGGTAGTGTGTAGGCAGACCTTACCACCAATAGAACCATAGGAATAATAACAACATCATAAAAACCACAAAATAGATGAAAAACAATAACAAAAACTAGAGAATAAGTCCCGGTACTATGAAAAACGTAAAATAGTGTGGACATAACAATAATCGCTAACAGCCTAGGACAAAACCTTATCAGACACGTTGGTTGTATACATAACTACTTGTTTGTGCTACTCGGACTTTGCTTCCTATCCAGAATGGATTCTCAATCAAATGATGAACCGAAGGTAATGACACCTAGGGTTGTGCATTTGGATCGAATATCCGAAATCCGATCCGCTTCGCTCAAATTCGGATTTCGGATATTTGGATCGGATTCGGATTTGATTTATTAAAATTTTGGATTTTCGGATTGGATTCGGATTTGTATAGTTTGAACCCGATCCGATCCGAAATCCGAATTTATTAAGGGAAAAATAACTACTAGTTTTATTTTTAGGGTTAGGTGCATTAGGTCTTATTTCATTCTGCCTCCGTCTAATTCTCAGAAGCAACTTTTTGATGTTGCTGCCTTATCTCAGTTCTCACGCCTCAGACTCAGTCCTCACTCCTCATTGCTCACTTCCCGGCTTCAGTCTTCACTCTTCACGCCTCACAAGTCACACCCAGAGACTGCTGTGCTGGTGCTGCTCACTTCAGTCTTCA